ATCTAAACCAACTACTACAAGCTAAGACATCTAAACCAACTACTACAAGCTAAGACATCTTAACCAACTACTACAAGCTAAGACATCTAAACCAACTGCTACAAGTTTGGACATCTAAACCCACTACTACAAGCTTAGACATCCAAACCATCTACTACAAGCTAAGACATCTAAACCCACTACAAGCTGAGACATCTAAACCAACTACTACAAGCTTAGACATCTAAACCAACTACTACAAGCTAAGACATCTTAACCAACTACTACAAGCTAAGACATCTAAACCAACTGCTACAAGTTTGGACATCTAAACCCACTACTACAAGCTTAGACATCCAAACCATCTACTACAAGCTAAGACATCCAAACCAACTATTACAAGCTAAGACATCTAAACCCACGACTACAAGCTAAGACATCTAAACCAACTATTACAAGCTAAGACATCTCAACCAACTACTACAAGCTAAAACATCTAAACCAACTACTACAAGCTAACACATATAAACCAACTATTACAAGCTAAGACATCTTAACCAACTACTACAAGCTAAAACATCTAAACCAACTACTACAAGCTAACACATATAAACCAACTATTACAAGCTAAGACATCTAAACCCACTACTACAAGCTAAGACATCCAAACCAACTATTACAAGCTAAGACATCTTAACCAACTACTACAAGCTAAGACATCTAAACCCACACTACAAGCTAAGACATCCAAACCAACTATTACAAGCTAAGACATCTTAACCAACTACTACAAGCTAAGACATCTAAACCAACTGCTACAAGTTTGGACATCTAAACCCACTACTACAAGCTTAGACATCCAAACCAACTACTACAAGCTAAGACATCTAAACCAACTACTACAAGCTAAGACATCCAAACCAACTACTACAAGCTAAGACTATGATAAGATTAGATAATTCTTTATTACTACCGTAAAGAAACAATACATTTCTAGTTTAGTTAAAAAATGTAATAAAGATATAAATTTTAATTATAAATGTTTGTTAAACTAAAAGCTTAATAATGATAAAATCATTCAAGGAACTGTTTTCTAAATTGCTGTTTTAATATAGTCAATTAGTTTCATTAGTGATAGTTTGTTGTTTGTGTTGATTTTTTGAATAAACATATGAATATTATTGAGGTGTATTTTGTTTACTTTCTCTGGTCTAATTCAATTTTGGCATCCGATGGCATCCATATTCAATATTCAGTCTGTGAGAACTTAATCTGAATTTAGATAGTAGTCCACTATCTGTTTTTTTAGTATAAGTACATATGGTGAAATTTTTCTGTGAGAACTTAATCTGAATTTAGATAGTAGTCCACTATCTGTTTTTTTAGTATAAGTACATATGGTGAAATTTTTCTTTTTACTTTTAGTAGTTTGAAAGTTCCCAGTTTTGAATCTTGGCGTTGATTGTTAGCGTTCCATTTTTGAATGTGGTACTCACATGCTTTCTGTTTGTTAATATTTCCCAGGTTATGTGTAATGTTATATATTGATTTCATTTTGTTGTTGTTAGAAAGCCAACAGTTCTTGTGAGAATGTTTCTGTTGGTCCATCAGTGTATTATATGCAAGGCTCTGGTTCATTTCTTAGTAGACTTTGGTAGTACTTAATTGCTTTGAGTTGTATTTTGACAATCAGCAGTAATCGTTCGAGTTCCATCCTTGTACCAATATTATTAGTCTTGTTATTTAGTAGGTGTCTACAGAATACTAAGGTGGTGTTTGTCAGTACATGTTTTGTCCCAGGATTCAATTTTGGTATTAACACCCCAAATTTCTCCTGCATATGTTAGAATGGGTATTTGAATTCCCACAAATAATTGTAACTGTAATTTGGCATTCACCGTTTGGTGAGATACTAAGTGTCATAATTGTGCATTGTATCTCATGTCCTCTGTAAATCTTCTTTGGTTGTTGCTGCTAAAACAATGTCATCTGCAAATAATAGTGATGTGATTGTTTGACTGTTCAGCTAAGGACCATCTTTCAAGTCATTAATAAATACATTAAATAGTGTAGGACTTAGTGGGCAGCTTTGTTTCATGCCTTTCTCTATCCTGAATTTAGGTGATACTTGATCATCTAATTTCACACACAATGAAGTAATTGTTTACATATTTGAAATTGTTTTGTGAAAATTCCCAGATATATTTTTTGTAAAAGTCCTTCTCTCCATACTGAATCAGAACACTTTTTTAGATCAATAAAGCAGGTATACTGGTACATTTTTTTGTTTTTTATTGGTATTTTTTAGTTAATATATGTAATGTCAGCATGCTTTTCTGAATCCGGCTTGATTTTTATGGATGGAATTGTATTCTTCAAGGTAGCGTGTTAAGCAATTATTCAGTAACATCGAAAAGAGTTTTCCAACAACACTGTTAGCTGAAATCCCCCTATAATTGCTGGGGTTGTGAATGTCACCTTTCTTGTGTATAGGTGTAATGGTACTATACATGTACATTTTAATTCAAGGTATGTAATAGGTGGGTAGGATATTCAAGTAAGAAGAGCCCTCATTCATTTGTTCAATTTAAAATGTAGGAGATGTTGTATTACCCTCACTTACATTTATTCCTCCAAATATCTCACCATTCCATAGCAGTATGTTTCCACTTTGGTCCTGTAATGGCTGCGGTGTTAAAGATCCTCTCAAGTGTAGAACATGACCAGAAAAATTTATACAACAAGATAGTCCATTGTGAGAACCCAGTGATTTCTGGACGATTTCTGAATGATTTGGTCCTCTTCTTCTCAGACTCTCACAAATTTTATCATCAATCCACTGAATGAAGAGAATTATTCAGACTGATCAGTTAAAATGTTGAAACTCAACTACACAGATTGAGGTACTGAAATATCTCTCAATACTTGTTTGACAATCAGATACAAATGTCAATCATTTTAATGTTAAACAATCATCCTAATCATATTCCTGACATGTTTATGTTCCAGCTATTTTACTATAAACAAAACTATATATCTTAAATTCGATAACTTCCATGCACGGCTTGTTACAATTATGTCTGCGGAAATTTTACATCATGTGACTCAAACCAGTTTCCATTGTTGGGACTAATACTCTTTATTGAAATCACTATCATTGATTAGTAGACGAAAATGTAGGTTCCTCATTGGCTGAGACAGTAATAAACTTTTGTTTCATTCGACTGATATTAATATCAACTGGATGCACACCACATTACTCTCAAGTGAACCTTTTTAAGGGATTTTCTGTTTTGAAATCTACAGAGCAGCTTGTTTTGTCAAGTTGTCATCCTTTATAACATACAAGTTTTTACTCTCATCTTAACATTTTCAAACATTTCCGGAATAATTTATGACCACCAGTTGGCAAAATGTCTATTCACCAGATGGAGCAATGTTCGTTTTTTTCCTTTTGAGACTTAAGCACCAGACTTTAAGTCATGATGCACTGTGGAAATGTCTCTAAATATCCCATCCAAAATGATCGCATGAATTCATTGAATCTCACTATGTACACCAGACAGACAGTTCTATAAATGGTCAAATGGATTGTGGTCAAAGTATGAAAATATTTGGTCAATATCAGAGCATGGGAAATATTTAAGAACTCCTGCCAGAACAACTGTAAATAAACAGCTCCTAAGGATAGTAATCCTGTATTAAAACACTCTTATGTGAGTCTGGCAACTAACAAAATAATTATGCATGGGCACCAACTCAAACGTGTGCACAGTGAGGTTAGGGACTGGTCAATCTCTTTGGTCGGGTGGGGGGAAGTTTGCTGGGAAATCTGATTTTGCAAAAGTATGAAAAGATTTTGTCTCGCAGTGAGTAGGAGTAGTGTCACAGTAACTAGTCTGTTCATCAAAGTAGAGAATTATTGTTTTATGTGACATTAATAACTGGTGTTTATCTGGGAATACCATCCTTAGGAGCTGTTAAATTGTTCTTATGTTCTGTGCAGTTACACTGGCAGAAGTTCCTAAACAAGCCCCATGCTCTGATATTTTCACCTAGTTTCTTACTTTGACCAAGGAACAATTAAACATTTATAGAATAGGTTTAGCATCGTGCATTCTTGTTATACTGCTTTAGTGACATACTGTAAGTATTGGTGTGGGAAATATCAAGGATAATTAAAAATGACGACAAAGGTTAAATACATTTTCATGCTAATTATTATTTCACCACAAGGTTTTTTGTGTGAATTAATGGCGATGGCTACGGAAATTGCAACTAAATTGATATTGGTAAGATTCCAGGGATGGCAGTAATCACAGTTCCTCCACACCTGGTTAGGAAACACTCTGAGTTCTATTGTCACAATGAGTGTTTAGCGTTTGTTTACTGGTAATCCCCACACTGGTCTACATTAACATAAAATTAGCATATAGTATGACATCATTAGCATATAGTATGACATCATTTTCACCTAGAATACCTCACAATTCATTTCTGCGCAGGCGTACACATTTTTATTTTTATGTTTCACTGCTGTGAAAGTTTCAACTTTCCGACGTCTGGGCATTTTATTTTAACAAAATGCGGGGAAAACACGAAGATTTCGTCGACAGTGATATTGATTGGGGTTAAGGACCCCAGTATTTAGATGCAGGATATAAGCATCGTCACCACCACCGTCGTCATGTATGGCTTCAAGTTGGCACCTGACCACAAACAAGACTGAAAAAAATGAATGAAAAAATAAGAGAACAGCAATGGAAATAATATTTGCCATTTTTTGGGATATCTAACCTCCATATTGTACTAAATATATGTAATAGTTTAAGCAGAAATGTGCATATACAAAGGTCGATACAATCGGATACTCTCAGCATAACGGCGACAATAGTAGGTATCATCATCTTGAAAACAAAAATTCTGCCGAGCACATGTACCGAGTAACGTGACGTACTGTTATTAAATATGATTAGAATGGGTCATATGACAACATAAACTGTTTGGTTATCTGAAAGCTACAATTAATTCCATCTTTTAAGTTTCGATAGTTCCTATTTCTCACGGAATAACATTTTCTGTTAGCGACACCAAACAGCCATCTTGATTCACACACAACACCTACGGCAAAATCAAATGGAAATGAATGACTGAAATGAACACTTATGCACAAAGTAAAAAATATTGTCTGAAAATTAAAGTATCAAATCACAAATTGATAACGACTGTGATTGTTTTAGGAAGTGGTAACGCGATGTACCAGGATTGAAACTTTCGTGGTTTTATTACCATAATGCATACAGCAATAATGAATCAACATGGCAGCTACAGTTTGAAATCAAAATCACTTTGTTTCCGTTATTTATAATGAATATAGATTTTAAACTACATGTGCCTTTTCCCGAAACCGATATGATCACACAGAGATTTGTAACTTTAAATAAAATTTACCGACTTTGCTCAAAAACACGCAATATTTGTAGATGTAACACTGCACGAATGTGCTTAGAACAAGCTCCAAGATAATGCTATGATGTCATCGTTCTCTCCCCACAAGCGAAACACGCACTGTACACAGGACTCGGGCAATTCACACCTTAGAACAATAGCGTTTATTACTAAATTACCGAATTACTAAATTCATAGTATAGTATAACTAGACTGAAGTGAAAATTGTTTACATATTTTAGTATAAGGTGATGATGGCATCCATGACAGTGTTGTTGGTCGTTGCAGCAGTGATGCTATTAAATAGCACTTGTGATTTTGAAATGGTGGTGGTGACATTTAAGAGTTACAAATAGTTCATATAGCTGGTTATGTTATATACTGTTCTTTTGATATTTTTTATTAATGATAAAATTTTATTTCAAATATATCATACGCATTTGTTGCTACCTTCTTTGGTATTATAAATACAATACAGTATGATGAGTTGAGTTATTCAAAGAAGAAAAATATTTGAGTGCAAGCATTGGTTGTTTATTAACAAGTAAAACATACAATAAACTTTATATTATAAAAATAAAATGATAACTTGCATGTAAATCCTATTGGAGCTTGAAGCCGGATGTAACTTAAATTATAGTGATAAATTGTGAAAAAAAGAATGTCATGAATTCATGTTACCTCAACTTGAAACAGTATGATTTTAGTATGTATATGAGGTATCTATTTTAAGTTTCTGCTTTTTGAAACCCAAGCCGGAGAAAATGACCAGTCTATTAGCTACTATAATAATAATAACTTTATTGCTATCGAATCTCTGTTGAGATATAGATATACTATACTATGACCTTCTTTGTTATGCACCGTTCACTGGCATTATTTTTATTTGTGGAATACAACCACCAAGTAAGAAGCCAAAAATTAGTCGCCAACAACGATTAGGACAAAAATTAAATTGTTGTGGGACTTCGATAACCATTCTGAGACAATTTACTGTTAAGTTTTGGAGCCCTTTCTGTCAATCGAAAGTGTAGTATAGTACATACCAAAAATATGTGCAAGTTCGTTACTCGCAGTTCCCATCCCAAGAAGGCACAAAAAGGCAAGCACGACAAAAGTGAAGGTCCCAATTAGCACTAAATTTCCAGAAAAATAAAGATTCAAAAGAAGATGAAACCACTGCAGAGAACATAAGTCAGCTGCTCAATAATAAGACCCATTCTGAATTTGTGGTATTTAAACATTGGTAACCATCGTCCCTCAACTCCAGCAGGCTAGCAATCAACTCACCTGAACATCACCGGTATCAGTTCCCACTGTAATTACACAACATATGCCACACATGTTTTCACTCAGATGACTTTACTTCTGCTCGCATTATATGGGCGCAGCCATTTTGCAAGCACTATGCCAACAGAGGGCGCTTTGGTATCTGCATTGTCATTCATTTTTGTTTATACATGTATGCGACCGAACTGCATACATATATATCTGCTCAGACATTACTTTCCAAGACGCGAGATCTCTTCATTCGCTTGTCACTCACTCAAATCAAAACCAAGAAAAAGTCATCACTCTCCCATACAATTGTGAATTGATTTAAATAGCACAGCTCTCACAATCATTCACAACTTTGTTCAGAAGAGAAATTTTCTCGCTCTAGGTCATTTTCAAAAGTTTCATCTGGTACGTTTTTAATATTTTATTATCCGTATCCGCGAATATTACACGATTTCACAGAATTAAAAAGGAGAAAAATACAAAATTAGTAGTTAACTGACAAAATCGTGAATAATAGTTTTTAGAATATCAAACTCACGTTGAAACCTTGACTGGTCGAATTTAACCGATGAGTAAAAAAAAATCAGGTGACACACAAGGTGTATTATTCAAGAGGAAAATTCAGTCAAAACACAATCGAGATATTTCATGGCCAAATAACAAACAAAACATGATGCGACTGACACCGTAAAAATTAGAAAAGACACATAGTTTATTGCATGTGTATATTTCAGTTCAGACTGTCATCTGTATAACAGCTGTTAAACAATGGAAACGGTTCATACTTTATCTTCGATAATATTGCAATTTACTTTCACAATGCGTTCTTTGTGATCGTTATTACTTGGAAAATATCTGAAACTATCGGCGATACCACGTGCTATATTGTTACGGCGAAGCAAATCAACTCATACCTAAAATAATTTACCCTCAGATCCAACAAATCAGAGTGTTGTTACCAAGCCGTAGGGAAAACTACTCAACTTGGAAAACGCAAAACATTCATGATCAAAGTTGGAGACGTCGTTGACAGTGCGCCCTCTACTAGAAGTCAGCCAATAATGCTATGCTCTCAGTCGAAATGGTGGCGACAACAAATCGCAAAGGCAATCAACCACCTATCCAGTGAACTACAGCAGTCGGGAATCGTGTTAGCAAGCCGATTAGGTCCCCGGTGTCTGCAGTAAGGCATCCATGTAGCTAAGGGAATTCATTGACCTTACATTACTTTCTCCCCCCGGGAAGATGCTGGCTTTAAATCTGGTACTTACATAATCCAACGCTAATCGAAAGAAAACAAACTTTCGAAATCAAAATTATGAAAGGGAAGCAGGTTGTATCTACGTGATCCTATTGTATGACGTAATACAGATCAGTAATTACTGGTATGTCACTCTCAAGTTGTTCTCGACAGGGCGTTGTCATGTTGAGACGCACCGTGACTACTTTCTTGGTCGTCATGTCGTCGAATTTTTCAATAGATATTTCGAAACATTAATGTTTTAGCAACTATGACATTTTTGACATGTAAATGATAATTGAAATATTACTGAATGAAACACTAACAAAAGTGTACGTGAATTTTATTTATTTATGAATTATTGTGATATTTTCATTTTCCTTTCAGATTGTGTTATATCATAAACTGTGTACACCATGGATATGTGTGATATGTGTAGCTATTGTTTAGCTAATTGTGTAGCTAATTTTAGAGTTCAAATCACTCGAGATGATAATTTGACCGTGAAGTGTTGCTGACGTGTATGGCGTACTTACTTGCCACGAGTTAAAACCAAGTGTTTGCTTTGTTAACGAAATACCCTTGTACATGAACTCCTGGGGCGTAATAAATCATTATAATATAAACAAAATATGACTGAACTTCATGTCTGTGCTGTTACAAATCGATAAAATGCCAACCTAGTTCCCGCAACATATATCATTTTTAGACATATGAACTCAACGCGAACCGATCAAATTAAAACTTTGTTTTCTCCATTTTTTTTAATTTCAGAATCTTAATTTGTCTCTAGGAATAATCAATTCCTCAAGAAACTGGACTGACGCGTTTAACGTACAATGTCTCTATTATTTCACACAGCTTTCGTGAAAATACAAGAAATGTAACCGACGATTAAATTTCGTGGGGGCGGGCTTATGTGATAACTATATGTTGGCCTAGTATCGAACGAATTAGCGCCGATGTACGTGTTTTTGTGTTTAAAATTGTATATTAATTATCATGCTTGTAATTTTATTTTATTTTATTTTATTTTATTTTGTTAAGTACATTTTTGAGGTAAATTAAGTTTTACCTAATTGTGTTTCCATAGTTACATTAAACAAGTGTTTGCTTTGCAATGAATTGTTATCGGTGCGTACACATACACGGAACCCTACGATAAAATAAATCATTTGGGTAAAAAAATGTTTGTGACGTTGACATTGGTGTTCTTAACAAACACGAACATATATTATTTGTCAAACATATGAACTTGAAATGAACCGACGATGTCGAGCTTTGTGTCTTCAACCAGGGATTCACATAGCAAGGGTTAAATTAATAAAAACAAGCAACGAATTAAACACAACATGACAGTACATATATAAGAGTAAATGTATTTACAATACATACTAGTATGTACGTCTGACTCGGTGTTTCGAAGACTTTAACAAAAGAGCGCAGTTCATTTCTATATTATTTGCTTCTCTTTACCATGTCCTAAAATTTTTTCCTGCCGCTGTCTGAGTAGGGTTTATCTCCTCTCCATTTTTCTTTTCCGAAATTGTTTATTTCATCATCTGTTTTGTGACAATTTTCAAGGCCGGGCCCTGCCTTGCGCCGTCACGGTGTGGGTGTGAACACTCACCATACAGTTGTGTATATATCAAACAGGTCCAACAACATCACATGATTAATAATAACAAATAATGTCAATGTCACTTGTGAATATCTATATTTATACTTCAAAATGTATTATAAATATTTGTGTTCAAAAGTAATTCAACAAATTGTACATCTCGTCTGATTTGGTCACGGTCTCTTTAGTGTTCATTCTCACCAGCTAATATAGGAACGCCTTGTATACCTTGCATTACGCTCTATGGAATACGTTACGAATCCAAACACGATCTAGAAATTCAACCACTGGCCTTTCTCTAATATAGAAGCTTATTCATTCAAAGTCGATTTACATGATTTATTACATGACATATTTTTATTATGTAGATGAACTCGATTTCCTTTAAAAACAGAGGTATTGATAATATTAATTTTCTTTTCAATAATTTGAGATTTATAATCGATAATGTACTTATGATCATCCTATTACTTGTATGGTTGATGCACATCATCAAAATATAAAGGTCGAGATGAATTGTAAATCCAAGGGTACTCTGGTTTAATACATGCGGCCAAAACAGCATACCATCACGGTTGATGAGAATGAGCACTGGTAGGGAGGGATTGACAATTACTTTACCGTACAGTGGTTTGTTATGAAGTGAGCGAGACCCGGTCCCCTTGGTTGATATGTTACTCAGATAGAGAAGAGGAGAAGAGTCGTCCACAGTAGTTTAGAAGATATAATTAATAAAATACTAGCATCTTATGAGAATTTGTTATCGTTATCCAATGCATTAGTATTCATGTGACAAACTTGGATACTTTAGCTACCCCTAGATATCCATAGAAACAACATATGTATATACTAGAACGACACTGAGGTTATATTAGATTATAGGTTATATTTCACAATTCCACTAATTTATTTATTTTTTGACCATATTTATACATCATATTTAGATAATCCATGTAGTCTATAAACAATGCATGTTCCAATATTCCACGTGAAATGTTGTGACATTGCCCATATTTTATGTACATTTGCTTATTAAAGATAAAGATGCAGTTTACCTGACAGGTATTTTAATTAGTTAATTATTAAACCAAGATGACCTCCCTTGTCCACAAAACTATATATATTTTCGGAAAGCTTATTGTATGAATTTTAAAATTTTGTTAGTATTTTTCTTTTATGAACACTGTAGTTTGAAATGTGCACAAAAATGTGCTTTTTTGGTCAAAAGTGATTTAGAACAAATTATCTTCTAAACCATGCTTCTGTTTCCTGTCAGAATTAGTTTATGGGTACATCTGTTTACTATGAAGAAAGTGCTGTCTTGAAAACTGTCTACCAGTTGTCAATTTTGCAGGACAGCAGCTCAAATTTCACTACTTCAAGTTTATGCATAAATTAACACCCAGGCTAGTTGTCTGTACGATTGTTGTAACACTGTTCAACCAAAAACAATTCCCCGACGGTGTTTTGAAGATAAACACATTGTCAATCATTTGTGAACATTCAAAACAAAAGGTCAAAGGGTCTAGGAGCTATTTTTTTAAAGTTCTGGGATGTGCACTAAAAAGAAGCTGAGATAATTGCTAATTTGCATAACAATTCACTCAGTAAAAAGTTTGCTAATGCTCATAATTAAAATGGCTGTAATAGTTTCAAATTTAAATTTATTATCGTTTTGTTAAAAGTTAAATATAGTGCATAATATGGAGATCCCGTCATTTCTTTTTTTCGCCATGTTTTTTTTTATTATTTATGTACAGCCTTGCTAAATCTTGCTAAGCATTCAAAAGAGAGAATGTTTGCACCTATTATCTATATTTTAAAATCGTTTTTTGAGTATGTTCCACTATTCACAATTCTACAAAATTTCAACAGTATATAGCCAAGACTGTTTGGATAATAAAAAACAAATAAAAAAAAAATCACTCCCGAGTGCCCACAAACCTGCATCAATACATTTAATTTCAGCACATACAAACGTCAAAGTGCGATTACCTGCCTCTAAACTATTATGAAACAATGCCAATTATTAATTGATAACCTCGTACTGTACCTATGTTTCGGTATACTTAATAGTAACATGTAAAGGTCCATATCATATAAACACTTATGTAGAAATCAACAAACATCAAATTGTTCTCTCACTGACAATTTCTTCAATCGTATTTTTAACACAAAATCAACTGATTCCTTTTGCCCCATTTTGTAATAAAAGTTTGTTGTGAAGCGTTTGACCACAATTTTACCAAAAATAATGGAAATAAGGCAGGATCAAGTCTATTTTTAAAAATGACAGGCGTGATATCACACAAATACGCTTGAAACCTTACAAGAAAGTTCATAATATGTTGTTTCCATGACCACTGTTCACCTGTTGAAGAACAGTGTCATTTACACTTAATGAATTGTGATGTGCCAAATAACATCGATTATGTTTTTCCGTATTTAGGTTTAATTTATTACAAATAAGCCGATTAGAAATACTAGTCAAATCAAAATTATTATTAGTTAACTACATTGCAGATATCATCTGCATAAATTACTATCTACGATGATTAATACAATCAGGTAAATTATTTATATACAGAACAAACAATAATTAGCCTAAAATGAAGTCCAGAGGAACACTACATGTAACTAACTACAACTATATCAAAAATAGAACCATTGATTGAAGCACATTTTTTTCTATTAAATATGCAAGACATGAACCATTATGTCCCAAAACATCAACACTAATCAATTTCTTCAATAACAAATAGTCAGAGGCTTATTTCAAGTCGAGTAAATAAGCTATTGTAAAAAGTCTCCTGTCCATGTTAAAGTACTAAATTGCCCAGTAACATGAGTCTACTCAGGATTCATACTTTGCATTTGAAATAATTTCGATGTAATACTAGTATCTAGATTAAATTACCCATAATAATAACTTCCTTGAATAACACACACACACACACACACACACACACACACACACACACACACACACACACACACACACACACACACACACACACACACACACACACACACACACACACACACACAATAGCACAATAGCTAAATACAGCACGGTCGTATTTGCACCTGTTTGTACAGTCAATTGTTAAATTGGTAAAACCATGTTAATTTGTGGTAAAGTCAGGATCATATCTAACAAGACGAAAGAAATAGATGTTGGGAATGAAGCGAACCAAACGCAGACAAGACAATAGCTACACACTGGTTGTGCAACTATAGTCAGATCAGATTAATTGTTATGCTAATGACACGATGCGGGAACACACAGTATGAAACATGTTCGGTTTTCACTGGAAAGACAAAAATAACAACAGAAAAACATGTTGCAACAGATGGTAATCAGTGTGACTAGATGTTCATAATCCTCTATATAGCAGATAATACTGGATAGATAGCAGGAATATAATAAAAATGGAAATAATAACACAAGGCAAACGTATTACAACTTAATTATGCAAAATACCAGCATATTGTATATGTTTATTTAACAAATGGTTGAGGTGAGCAAAAATGAACAAGTTCTTATAACCGAGACAGAGACATTGGCTGTGAGGGCGCTGTTGCTCTTCGCTGACGTTACAATAACAGTGATGAAAATTACATTCATGAGAAATATTTCATTTTAAATATTACATAATTATTGATGCCAAATATTACATATTTCTTAAAAATGTCAAATTCGTACATCTCAGTTTTATTTATAGGATCATAGGATCATTTATATTTATATATGTCTAGAAGTGCAGACAACCCGCCATCGTTTGTCTTTACACTCCATGTAAACAAGTGGAGTTGCGAAATTGGTACACGTGGTACACTATAGGGCCGCACTTAAAAACATGGAGGCAATTTCAAACAGTGGTTTGCTTTTCAGTGAATATTAGATTTTATTTTGGATTCAGTGAACAATTTTTGTAACTTTCTAATATAATTGAGACTTCAATGAACTTCGTTGAAATAAAGAAAAATCCACTTTACCCCCCCCAAATAATAAATAAATACAAAAAAGAAGGTGTTGGTAGAAGTAACAGTGTTGCTCTATCATGTTTCTCTTCAAATCATTTTGTGTTGTACTATTCTATTTAATTTATTCAGGCTGCAATTTACAATTTACATCAGCCTCTGTATTCAATTTAACATGCTATGAGTTGCACATCATCGACACACAACCATCATTAACAATCATGCAAAAGACAAAAATATATATTCAAATAAAAAACCACATGACATCAAGCAGACAATTCATTACAAGCACAAGTAAAAAAAATGTCCAATATATATAATATGGACGAAAGCATCTTTTTTGCAATATTGTTGTTCGATATCAAATCGGATTTATCATAAACTAAATATGTTGAGTTTGTAGAACATTGAAATTGAAAAAAACAACACACTAATACGCACGTGCAGTGATTGTTGTTGTACGTACTAAAATAACGATTGTCATTATTTCATCGTGTTCATAATCAATATTAAAAGTTACATTACTCGTCCATATTGTACATTAATCAGGGTATAAAAATGTACTCATATAATGTATTTTTTTAAATGACGACGACACACTGAATAACCATCAATTAACTCTTTAGCTTGAAACACGAGGACACGATGTTAAAGTAGTGGTTGTCTCGAGTTGACAACTAAGGTTGATACGTCATCATCAAACGATGTTAACAAAGTGGTTGCCTCGGGTTCACAACTTAGGTGTGTAATACGTCATCATAAAACGTTAAAGTAGTAAGTGGCGGCGGCATCGTGGGAGCAGTCGCCTCCACGAAAAATAGGTCGTGGGGGGCGTTGCCCCCACGATAAAATAAGGTGAAACACTCATCTATATTTGCCACTAAAACATAAGAGAAATATACCAACAAAATTTGCTCCCCAAAATGCGGGAAACAGCGTTTCAGAGGGTCTAGATTTCAAAATTTTCCCGGGGGGAACATGCACCGGAGCCCCCCAAAATGATCGCTCGATTTGTTGACATTCACCTAAAATCTTCGCCCCACAGTCAAAAAAGACTGCTGCCGCCTCTGTGGTGGTTGTCTCGAGTTGACAACTAAGGTGTGCAATACGACATCATAAAACGACGTTAAAGTAGTGGTTGTCTCGAGTTGACAACTAAGGTGTGCAATACGTCATCATAAAACGTTAAAGTAGTGGTTGTCTCGAGTTGACAACTAAGGTGTGTAATACGTCATCTTAAAACGATGTCAAAGTAGTGGTTGTCTCGAGTTGACAACTAAGGTGTGCAATACGTCATCATAAAACGTTAAAGTAGTGGTTATTTCGAATTGACAACTAAGGTGTGCTATACGTCATCATAAAACGTTAAAGTAGTGGTTGTTTCGAGTTGACAACTAAGGTGTGCTATACGTCATCATAAAACGTCCTCGAAAACCGCTAATATTCGACGAGAACAATGAACCCACGTGAAAAAAAAACTTTTTTCTAGCGTTTTCTGGCACGTGAAAAAATGAGTCACAAGTACAAAAAACGATATTTCATGTTATAAACAATTATGGTATTCACTGTTCTGCCAAGGTCTCAAGAACAACCACACGACTCAACACTCATATTCGGCAAGTTTTTCTTAATAATATAGCCAGTGCTATTGTAGTAGAGCAACGTAATGCCAGACATTGCTGTAGGGGTACAACACGGGGTGAGATCACTGGGTCGTTGTGAGTTGTGTCGGCTATACAGTCGGCTCACTCGCTGCATCATTGTGGTGTGTTGATATCGTGGTAGAGTGTTACCTTCACATGATCCATTACAGTGGTTGGCATAGAAACCACTTGGTTCGATAATCCAATCGTTCCAGTGGATGTCTTCAAATGAGACATAGAACGACTTTCTACAACATATAGAGATGGACTCTGTACAATCAAAACTACGCTTTCGACGGGGGTGTCGCTCACTGGTGTTGATCACTATAAAAGGCCGCCTATCTTCGTCAGTCGCTATAGGAGAGAGTTTGCCCTTTTCAACCGGACAGTTCTCGCATCGGGCAATGAGTGCATGTTCGGCGTTACCGTGGATCTGCCATTTTCGCACGGCGTGTTTTACGTTAAAATCGAGCCATCCTCCCGCGACAGAGGTCTGTCGTCTCGCCACCTCTTTTGTCGTGAGTGTATTAGGGCTTGCCAACTTTGATATTACGATGTATGGATCGGGAGTGTCGTTGGTTTCAGCCGGCAGTTTGTACACCCACAGCTGAGCCGAGTTGACGGCACTTGTGAATATTTCCGGCGTCAATTTGAATTCGAAGCAACCTTCGGGTGACTTGGAGTGGCATGCGACGTTGCCTGTAATAGAAAAACAAAAACAAATGGCGAAATAATTATAAGGGCTGCACCAAAATGTTTGTTCTCAACCATTCTTCTCAACCCGGTTTCTCAAAAGACCCACCGCTAAACGCTCTTTTAGAAGCGATGCCAACCGCATATCATGTACCCAATAGATCTATAAATCAGTATGACCACAACAATGTAGATACAAATTGACAAATCTCCAAATCCGTTCACGTCATATTGCACACCTGTTGATGACGGGCAAGGCTTTCCGCTGGAAGGAAAGGTATCGGATAAAACGCAAACAGGCAAACGAGAATTATTTTTCGATCTCATATGTAATATATCTAATAGTTGTGTCAGCTTCGACAACTCGTGGACACTTGAACTTTGATTCACTGACATCGAATTGGAATGCATAGGTTAACTCAACACAATAAAAAAGTATATATTATAGTGATATATTATATACCAGGTATGATTCTATAGGCCGGAAATATTTGGCTATCCGCAAGTACGCAATGTCATTTAATTTACACCAACGTATCGAGTAAAACAGTGGTGCCATTAAATATGAACGCTTGGCAGTGTGTCTGCTTTAAACGTAATTACACATCCCTTGACAGCAGCATGTCTTAGAAAAAGCTGCCAATAAGCAGTGTTGGCCCCAATTATACAAGAATACCTAGACCTAGATTGAAGGTCGAAAAACAACGATTCTTCTGGACCTTGCCACAAAAAGGATAATTACAGTTTACAATCGTACTTATTTATACGGAAATCGATTGTTCGTATGCAAAGTTCAGCTCTGATGGGTGACATGAGTGACATTGGGTCGGAGTTGTTCCTATCGATCCATGGCTGTATTAATTAAAATAATTCGCAACATTTCTTTTTACTTTTCTATTACTAAATGAATACGGATATTACATTTCTGTGTATAACAATTGGTACTAATAGGTACAAATGAAGCGGGACTCACTTTTTTCAGCAAAAACAATTACTTGGGTTGTTTTTCCATAAAAATCATCGATATTCACAGCGCCTTCTTCGTCGTAGTCTTCCTGGGTCAGTAGTCTACCACTCGACAGTGGTTCCGGTAGGGACGTCTTTTGCAGCTTAGGCGGTTCGGAAAGGCGAAGCTTGCTGAGAATGAGTTGTTTGATATGTTCGAGTCGCAATTGATCCAGTAACTGTTCGCCACCTTCCTTGATAATCAACTGCTTCTGCATGGTTGATTTGCATTCCGTGCAAGGCTGGTCACTACCGACCGAGCTCTTACCGGGACCACCGCTTTTTCCTTCCACTATAGTGTCTATGATGTCTTCAGAATCACCGCCAGCACCGAGTTTGTCTGGTAATTTTGACTTGTGAATTTCATCTGCGGAGATGGGTAACTGGCCATCAATTCCAGGAGTGAAATGTGGTGGAAGTGCCTCTAAGTCAGCAAGGATGTCGCCGATATTTCCTTCACGTACTAATACAGGTTCGCCGCCCTCTGTAATGCTATCGTTGCGAAATTTCTCGAGCACCAGCAATTGTTGTAAAGTTAGGTCGGATTCTTCCGTGTTGCGATCTGCGATTTCCTTACTTGGGATTAAAGCCGACTCGCATGTAAATGACAAATGTTGTGCTAGAAAAAATATAACAGCAACACAAAATATACTATACTTCATGATGGAGAAAAGTCTGTAAGGCAATGACATGTATTAGCAAATATTGCACGCATGTATTGAAATACGAACAGCACCTATGACGATGTCAAGTGTGAGTTAACACGGGACAAAGTAATGGCATGTGTGCTGTGCTCGGAGTTTTGTACCTTTTAATGACGTCATCGATCACATCTCATGAACCAATCGGGATGAGGCTGAGGGTTCATAGTTTACTCACAAAGGACGATAACGTTGTATTACCACCACTGTTTAAAAGTTGATTGTTTGTCACTGTCAATCGTAAACTTGACGATACGAGAGTCGTGTAACTCCACCCCTTGGATCATGCCACTGATCGCGTCTATTGATCTTATACCTAGGGAAAGGTAATACAAATTGTTCACTGACTTCTGGTCGCCACAGGTATTCGGGCAAGATACGTATAAAATGAATTCACAATCAATTGTTCAATCAATAATAAGATACTTGACGCACTTGACCCAAAATTCAAGTCTTCAGTTGGTTGTTGTCAGGCTATGGTTGACCATTACTACACTACCACTTAATGAAATCTCAAACTTTGCTTTTAAATGCTAGAAGTATAGTTGACCATTCACCAGAGGCAGCGGCACGAAATGTTACATGGAAGGCGAGATCTGCTCACCAACCTCGCGCCGAGGCTTGAGTGTCTGAGGGCATGCTTCCCCTTACAAAATCTAGACCCTCTGAAACGTTATTTCCTGCATTTTGAGGGTCAAATTTTGCCCCTCTGCCCCTCCGTGCCACCGCCACTATTCACAACGAACAGATTTGTATTATTAATTGATTCCGATAATAGAGTCGGTTGATTGATTGATTCTGGCTATTAATCTCCAATTGTGGTTTTAGATTATCGTAACTATAAACAAAATACAAACACATCATACGATAATGGTGTTGAATTTCAACTTGAACGTTGGACGTCTTCACACCTGTCAGTAAGGTCTGACAATTATTATGTTTACCTTCACCTTAGTCCAAGCGTTTTGTATAAATCAATATGGCATCGATAGGCGATAGTATTTGGATAAGTCTTTGATAACACGCCCATGCACATGTTCCATGTCGTGACATTCATTGTAGATCATTAAACTACTTTTTCTTTTAATTTCAGTTTTTTTTAAACATTTTCAGTTGAGTTGCAATGTTAACACACCGAACGACTGCTAACCGCCAGAGATTGGCTCACTAACCACAAATCACCATGTCAATGAATATGTGTAAAATGTGTTGCCAAGACAACAAAATGAGAATAATACAAATAATGATTACAAGTTCATATTGGTACACCGACGAGGAAATACAAACTTTTGACTGTCATCATTCAGTTTACAAAAAAAGACTTCCCCACCGGGTGATTTTCTTGTTACCCCTGCTTCGCAAACTGCGTAAAGACGTGGAACTCCTAGTAATGTTAAATATCATGAATTTCAGTTTTGTCAAATTCTATAGAATATTCCAGTACAACCACGGCGGATAGCACGCCAGAGTTCCCATAATAAAAAAATCTGACATCATCCTTGGGGACAAGGCCAGCAGCAACGGAGTGAAGTATCGAAATCCAAGAATAGTAATGGACACCATACTTACAATAAAAGCCTTGTTTTCTTATATAAGGGTGTTTTGCTGACAGCCGACGGCAATAGCTAACCCTGCACGGATTAGTTCAAATAACATTCCTTGCTCATTTCTTTGAGCATTCAATCGTGAACATTTACTTTCCAAACCACAACAATACCAAAGCGATGCCCCAGGCGGCATTGTCACACTGTCATAACCCCTTTTCTCACTGTAAAGTCTGTCTTTCCATGAACTCCATTAAGTTTGTCTAAGTTGCTTGCAGTTAACAGAAAGGTATATGTACACAAGAACAATATAAGCAGTCAGTAATGTATTCCGTTTAACTGACACCCTTTCAAATTATGATTGTTGAGAATAGGCAAACAGATTGCGATATGACAGTAGAGGTAACAAAAATGAGTGGCAATCAATGAAACAGTGGACGAGAGGGATTCCATAGGGACTAGTAGTGACAATGTACGTGACAGTGGACTAGAGGGATTCCGTAGGGACTAGTAGTGACAATGTACCTGACAGTAGACGGGAGGGATTCCACAGGAACGAGAAGTGACAATGTACCTGACAGGAGACGAGAGGGATTCCATAAGGACTAGTAGTGACAATGTACCTAACAGTGGGCTCGAAGGATTCCGAAGGAACTAGTAGTGACAATGTATCTGAAAGTAGAAGGGAGGGATTCCGAAGGTACTAGTAGTGACAATGTACCTGACAGTAGAAGGGAGGGATTCCACAAGGACTAGTATGA